CCAGCTGGTAATTTAACTAAAGGCTTAAAAGGATTTATGTAGATTTTGTTAATTATGATATTGAGACTTATTTTGTAGTGGCATTATTTAATGTTAAACCTAAGTACCTTTAAGTGTTGGAAAGATTTTTAAACGCTCATCTGTTTAATTGCCTCAGTTTTCCAATAAATTAAGAAAGAAGTCATAAGGAACTTTCTACAACTAAAAATATTGCCAAAGGTAATAGCTACAATTGTGATATTATTGATAATTAGTCAATAAGATAAAATAAGAATCTCATTTCAAAATCTTTAACTTTTTAAAAAGAAACCACCAGAACTAAGTTTATTACTATGCCATACGAGTGAAGGTTTACTCGAAGACTCTAGGGAATTATTCGTAGACTTGATGGCCACAGTTGTAATATTATTGATAAAATAGTCAATACGATAAAATTTAGGACTCTCATTTCAAAATCTTTATCTTTTCAAAAAGGAATTACCAAAACCAAGTTTATTACCATGCAATAAAAGCCTTAATTTACTTGAGGGTACTATTCANAGGACTGACGACCTTATGATGATGACATCTTTCTATAAAACTATCTCAAATCAGATAAGATCTAACATCTGCAACCGAAATTCTAACTCAAAAACTACTAGCATTTAACTAACGATGACATATCGATAATTTTTATTGGGGTACTAAAAATAACGATCGAAATGTGTAATATCGAATTGTGGTAGTAGACAAGTTTCAGTTTCCATATTTTTTTATTTGTTTTTCCAATTATCTTCATCTATTTTTATTTCTAATTAGAACGGAACTGTATTTCGCACATGATGTTTTCGATAGTATTTTGTTTTTTAATCACTCTGAACAAAGTGGAAAACTACTTGGGTTGTTTTAAAAATAATTTTTGTGTCAATTGCTGAGTGAATGCTTCAAAGAAGCGTCAAAACTGATATAATTTTTGCTTGTTTAAAAGTAGACTCAAGGCAAAACAAATAACCATTAAATTAGGTCGGGTACGTGACAATTCTCTTATCGGATATTTTACTGTGAAAAGTGAGACTTTGAGTAAATTTAATCATGATGTAAAACATAAATGTGACACACTGACACTGCAGTTTTATTTTAATTTAAACCAGCTTTTGTATTACACAATTGTTATTTTTTTGTTGACGTTTCCCCTGTAAGTAGGCTCTTAATTTTACGAAAACCATTAGGAATTCACGACAGGACCAAGGTTGGTCCAAGATTGTTCAATCCTAATCCGATATTGGCAACCAATATTGGACTAAGCCTCTTAGCAAATGCTTATGTAATGTATATAATTTCGACCCAAGCCCGATTATCAAGCTTGATCCACAACTGGGCAGCCAATCTTGGGTAAATACTTGATGAAGAATATTAGCCCAGAATTGGGCAGCTCAAATTGGGTAAAGACTTGATAAACAATATTAGCTCAAGATTGGGCAGCCCATATTGTGCCAAGACTTGGTTAACAAATTAAATCCAAGATTAGGCAGCCAATATTATGTCAAATATAGTTCACACTGACCTGTTCATTGTTTGTTATGAATCGACCCAAGCTTGGTCCACAACTGGATAATCAATATTGGGTAAAGACTTGATGAAAAATATTAGCTCTAGATTGGGCAGCCCATATTATACCAAGACTTGGTTAACAATATAAATCCAAGATTGGACACCCAATATTACGTCAAATATAGTTCACACTGACCTGTACACTGTTATGAATCGACCCAAGCTTAGTCCACAACTGGACAGCCAATATTGGGTAAAGACTTGATGAAGAATATGAGCCCATGTTTGGGCAACTCATATTGGGCAGAGACTTGATAAACAATATTAGTTGAAGATTGGGCAGCCCATATTGGGCAAAGACTTAGTTAACAAAATAAATCCAAGATTGGGCAGCCTGTAAACTGTTATAAAACAGTAAAATCCTTTGACATCCAGCTAGATAAGGTTGTTTTTCACATAAATTAAATATCCTTAAATGGTTTATTCAAATCAGATTACGAAATATTCTTTGAGAGAAGCATTTATTGTAGTTTGCGATTGTAACTTTAATATTGACAAGATTACATCGCCGTATTGATTGAGAATATTTTAGATCCTAAAATGGAATTGTGGGAAAATGCATACAATTATTAGATACACAAAGAAACGTTATCCTTGGCTCTGCACGTCTACAGAATAAATCAGGCTACGCTGAAATAAATACATTATAATAGTCGTATTTACATTAGAAGATTCTAAATATGCACATTCCTTTATTAGGAATCGTAAATTGCCAAAGGGAACATTTTAATGCGATAGATTGGCAGATGAAGTAAAACAGTGGAATGTAAACAAGTTAACAATCTACATACAATAGAATTAATGTATCGAATTCGAATAAAAGTGGCGTTTAAAAACAGGGGAATAAAAGAAAGCTTTTTTATAGACGACTTGTCTTTTTTAATTCATGATTTCATATTCAATGTTCCGATCTAAATCGCAGTATTTATAATAAATATATGCTGAATACGATTATTTGGTAAAATAAGAAACATTTACCTTTGAAATTAATAAAAAGGACTAATCAAAAAAGGAGCTTTCGTTGAAGAGCTTTTTCGAGAAATAACCACGTACATTAAATAACCTAAATTTTTGTCTTAGATTCTGTACCTAAACTAAAGATTTTAAAGATAGAACGCACAACTAATCAATCTATCGATACAAAGAAAATTAAACAAATATTTCCAGATGTAACATTCAGTATCCAACGTAACGTTACTGTTGTATTATTTTTTTCAGTCCTTTTACTTATAGTGTCCCTGACTTTATACATCATTCACAATAATTAATCGCTAAACGCCATTTACATTGGAAAATATAATAAAAAAGTTAACTAGAAATAAACTAATTGTAATTAGAGAACAAAAAGTACAATAATTAATGATCATATCATAACTTCAATAAACAGGTTTATGTTTTTATCAAATACATGACTACAATATTATTAGTAAACGCGTAATTACCTTTAATATCAACGCACCTTTGAAATTCCATGATTTTTGAAAGGTATTTTGTCTATTATCACGTAGGAAATCTAGTGAAAAATATTATTTACTTTTCCGTATTGGTATACGTATATAAACATTCTGCTCCTGAATTCTTTGATTAAAGAATCTGTCCGTTTGTCCAATGTACCTACGTGTTGCCGAAATCTCAATATATTTGGGACGTCGGTCCTTATCGATTTTATGCAGTCCTGGGAGGCTCTACCTTAGAGAGAATATTGAACACCTCCTTTAGTCATTTCTTTGTCGAAAAACAATTTTACATTACAGTAATTTTTGATAAAAATCGCACCATTAATATGTTTCCCTTATATCATCGACAAAAGAAGACCACCTTGCAGTCGGTAAATTCGAATTCGTATCCTGAAGTGTTATTTGTACCTTCGGATGAAAAGGCGGAAGTGGTTTTGTCGGAACCGATGTGAAACATGTCTTGCTTGCGCAATGGCCGTTTTGACTCATTCATACGAAACCAGCGGTACATTATACATACAAATTAAATAAATAGTTATAGGCTTAGCTATAGTAATGCCGCTAATATTTTTGTGTTCTGGAAACGTACAAGGTGAAATTGTTCTATGTGTATTACGGTACTGTTAGGTACATGCTGTATTACCGTTAATGCAATTATTGTAAGATAAAAAATGTTATTAAATGTAGCAGATTGTTAGTATTGTCACGTGTAGGCAGCCCTCTATACGTGAAAAAACATCAAGAGGTATATAGTGGGTTGCCTAGATTACACTGGTCGCGATGCAGGCAACCCACTATACGCTTTGATGCTTTCTCACGTACGGTGTGCTGCCTACATATGAGACCGTTTTGTAAATTGGCACTAAACACCAGAGAAACATGAAACAAAGAGGCATTAAATTTTTGTAATTCCATGAAAGCTCGTCCAAGATATAAGTCACGATCTTAATCTGAGTCCATAGATTACAGCTTACAGCGACACAACATTTATTATTACGTAACAAGTCATGATTTATGCATAATTTATATGTACATACATACAGGCACAAGCATACGTCAGTGGCGTAGTCAGGCCATTAAGCTATGATAGCCTCCCATTTTCTTTAATTTGATCCAATGCCAAGGGGACTATTCCTTAAATCTTTACTACGAAATAAGAAGTCGAGATGTTTTCTATACAAAGATTACAACTTAGTATGAATTTTGCGGATTTCAAGAGTGTATTGTCACTTGTCAAACATTGCAACTCCTTGTTACCCCCACCCCCCACAGAGGTTCAATTTTTAACCAATTTTGAAGTAAATCTGACCAAAAACAAAAATGTTCCATGTAATCTTTGCAAATCCCTTTCAGCTTCCTTAAGAGGTTGAATTGTTTCGTGTTGAAATAGGTGTATCATTAATTTTATATGAAAGAGCATTAAAACCAACTTTCAGGTAAATATATAGCATATAAACGTTACAACCCCGTTTCATTCCCTTTTAGAGATAGAATTCTTTAATGTGCTAAATAGGTGTTTGATTTTATGCCAATGAGCATAAATATCAAGTTTCATGTAAATTTGATTTATAACAAGAAGCCAGGAACAGTTTGGATTTGGTTTTTACGTTTTTCTGGGCAATTTTTTTCAATTTTTCTCTTCATAAGAACCTTCCTCCGACTTCAAGGAATATTAAAAAAAAAATATATATCGAAATTGGTCCAGGCGTTCTCTAGTTGCGGGGATACCTCTAGCCTCTATAGCTACGCCCGTGATATAATTTATATACACATCTCAGGTATGCCATATTGCGCTTGATAATAAAAATGTAAAAAAGCACCTGGGGCGTCCGCGTTCTTCGTTGAGCACCTCCATTTCGCGGCATAATGTTCTCCGGAGCCGTTATCCTTATTCTTCATCGTCTTCTTCCGATAGAATAACTGTAGCTAAAAGGCGATCTCATTGTTTTCTAGGTTCAGCCGACAGCGGCATAGCGGAGCAGCCCACTATGAGTCCCGAGCTCTGTGTACTTCAGGAGGTTATGGACACCGAGAAGGTTTACGTAGACGATCTCGGCCAAGTCATTGAGGTAAGTGTCTTGCTTGTGACTTTCGACGAATTTGTACAGGATGTTGTTCAATGCGACCGTGTTATCTTCGAGGAAGCCAGAAACATCAGTTGTTTCTTTGTTTCTCGAATGCATTTCCTGATATAATAACATGAAGTCATTAGATTCCTCAACAAAGTTTGATAAATAAATCTTGGCGTATGTATAATAATGTTGTAGTGTTCAGTGATTTGTATGTTTGTCCATCATTCGGTTAGTCATGGAGGAAAAAGTAGTAAATTATATTTTTCGGGTAGATTGGAATTCAATATATTCAGCAACGTGCACTTACGATGATGGATATCTAATTGCTCACCCTACGTGACAGGCAAGCAACCAAATCTAACAAAAAAGTCCATGGTGGTCAGTATATTCTATCGAAACTGCGACACGCGCGTCTTGTTAGATCTCATCAGCACGTCAAAGATTGAATTATATCATAGGCCTACTTTTGATATCCAGGATGTTTAGGAATTGCTTTTGGTTTTATTTTCCGCTTTATCCATCGCAATTTTGGTGTAAATTACTAGAATTAGTTTTCAATTATCGGTGCGGTATCTATCTGAAAATCTAACCATGGATCTTATGGATAAATACAATGGGCGGAGAATCTGGTACGAATCGCCAACACAATTTCCGCATTTTACAACTTCTGGGCATGATTATAAAGTTCGCGATCTACAGAAATTTAATCTGGTGGAGTCAAGGTAGTCATTATGTAGCCGGCCTGTTACCTATCATTATCCATTATCGGCAGGCTGAATTGTAATGAGCTAAATTGCTAGACGACACGACGTAGTTCAAACAACCAGGAGGAAGTGTGTGCGGAAAACAGTTTTTCATGTTTGTCATGAGCCTGAAGGAATTTTCACGTTTTCGAAAAGCGGATATTAACAGTTAGTTAGTTTATGTGAAACCGTTAACGAATATACTGTTGGAAAACTGCAAATTGATTTTATCAGGGTGGCAGTTTTCAGGAAAATAGAAAAAAGTTGGGAAATAACGGAAAATTTTCATTGAAATGTTACTTCTTCATCCAGAAATATTGAAGTACTTTGCAAGAACTATGTGCTCATCAAACCAAGAACTTATAAACATAAATACTGTTCTTTTTACTAATTTGCTTTATCTATCACGTTTACATAAATAAAGACTTACTTAGTCTTCTATACTTCATCATTGTCTTACATAATATGAAATAGGCACTGGCGTTAGTAAATTAATAACGTTACTACACTTGCAACTCACTAATGTCTTAACTGTAACTGCTTAAAGCTGGATACTCCGAAGCCTCAATTAATGCAATATATGATGACCCAAACTATGAGGTACGCTCATGATTAAGCATATCATTGTCAATTATTTCCCCTATTCATAGCCGTTCGGTCCATTAAATTACCAAAGATTACATGTTGATAAGCATTTAAGAAAAATTGATTTTGGAATTGAAAACATGATTATTACTGAAAATTATTTTGGCCATAGACAACGTGTCGTGAACGTAAGGATTTGAAGTTAATTTTTACTAATTTTTAAAAGGTAATTTAGAATTTCTTCTATGGTCACTAGAAAACTGCATTTTTATTGCTTTGATTGCAAGAAAATGGTGAAAGAAATTTTTGCTTGTTTTTGTATGACTAAGGATAATTATAATTATTATACCTATATCCTGTCATGTATTTGAAAATTTAATTGATTTAGATTTGCTTTCTTCAACACTGTATGAATCAAAATATGAATCATTGGATTCACATCAATAGGTACTGGAAACGAACGAAATATTTAAGTTTACGTACAACGATTTGCGTAATTTTCCTCATCACCTAATGATACAGTTTATTACCTATTAATTGATCAAAACAGAGCAAAGACGTCATGGCATTTGTTTAGGAGCAATAAAATAATTTTCCTTTGCCATTTATATGGTTGAGATGACTACTTTATTTTTCCTAATACTGACATAATTAAATTTTGTTTAGTGTAACGTAATAGTTTTAGTGATTTCGGAAAGCTTTTGTAGATACTTGGAAAAATTTGTGGTAATCGACCTCGCAATCGATAGTAAAATAAGTTTTTAAAATAAATGCTTGCTTTTATTGTTGTTATTTTATGCAATTGTTGTATTGCTTGCTGTAAAGTTCATGCAGGGTTCATATAGAGAAAAGTCGAAGTCACAGTTTTTATATGGAACAATACTCTATAGAGTATAATATTTAGTAAGTAACTTTATAAATACAACCGTATGCCAGAGGTAGCGAATCAATATGGTAGCACGTTTGCAGAAATACTCATGCGTTAAAGAATCTTCCAGAAGTTTCGGGAATATTTACGAATTTTCCATGACTACGACATGTATGCGAAGGAAGACAGTCGATATAGGAAAGAGTAGAGGTGCGTATCCAATCAGTCTTAGGACTGACGACCTTATGATGATGATTTGTATTTTAAATTAAACAGTTGTTAATATATCGCATCTCCGTTAATAACATTCAAGATTACAACAAATTTAATTCAATCGAGGAATGAAAAATCGAAAGCTAATAAATTTTCTAGGGGCAATAGTCTTTATGGTCAATTAACTAGTCGAGTAAGAGCGTAGAAAAAAGAGAGCGTGTATAATAAAACTGCTTCTGACCATGGCACTAGTGAATGAATTCTGAATGAACACAGTTTGCCGGTGACTCATTAGACTGCCCCTCGGCATTCAGCGATGCCATAGTTTTTTATTAATGAAATGATGAAACCGAACGCAAATGTTGTGGTTGGTGAATCCTCTACCCACGCAAACACCACAGTGTAATGTGTGCATGCATATGTTAATTTGTACGAGGTTCCATCGGAAATTCGTCATTAATTCTCAGAAGTATTAAACGCTTCATCGACAACAAAATGTGCTTGTCCTTGGCGATTGTTAAAATATACTCGGCAATCATTAGATTCAGAAATTAAAACTTGACATTAGTATGTGATTCATAGGAATATGGTTTATGAAAATTTAATGAATTTTTCTAATGTTGTAGAATTGTAAAATTTGCTTTGCTTTGTCAATAAACAGTACACAGCTACTCCTGATGATGTTTTTCCTTGTGACTTTAATGATGGCTGCCGTTCTCCATATTGAATTACTCAAAAACTTCAATTGTTTCACAAGCACGGTTACGGTCTAGTGATGGCAGCCGTCTGCCATGTTGAATTTTTCATTAACAATGTCAATTGTTTCACAATCAAAGCATGAATGGCTTTATTAAGACGCACGGTTAAGGTCTAGTGATGGCTGCCGTCTGCCATGTTGAATTTTTCATTAACAACGTCAATTGTTTCACAATCAAAGCATGAATTGTTTTATTAAGACGCACGGTTATAGTTTAGTGATGGCTGCCGTCTGCCATGTTGAATTTTTCATTAACAACGTCAATTCTTTCACAATCAAAGCATGAATTGCTTTATTAAGACGCACGGTTATGGTCTAGTAATGGCTGCCGTCTGCCATGTTGAATTTTTCATTAAGAACGTCAATTGTTTCCCAATCAAAGCATGAATTGCTTTTTTAAGACGCACTGTTATGTTCTAGTAATGGCTGCTGTCTGCCATGTTGAATTTTCCATAACATTTGCTTCATATTAACGCATTTATTAGTTATTTTTCGAAAATCGCTCATTTGAATAAGTTTAGCAATTCACATGCAGCGTCAAGAAAAGACAAGATATAGCTAGTGATGTAGTAGTCGAGGTTCATTGGCGCATAATGGTTATCCGGTACAATTATTAAACTATGCAGTAAAAAAGTGTTTAAAAATAGCCTTCCGACAGTGTGTCGCTATTAAAACACAGCGTCGTTTGTGTAAACCGAACACCATACGTGTTTGTACGTACATGTAAGTTCAGTCCATTAATGTTTTATGGTGGTTTATAGGAAACGGTTGACAACGTAACTGCTGTAAACAGAAAATAAAAGCGCGTTTGTTCTTGAATCTTATAGTCTCCTCCACGGAAAAGGACATTACAAATATTGTTTGTTATGTCAATTTATTATAATTATAGTGGAATTGTTGAGGCGCTTATATAAATCGTTTTAATAGCAGTTTAAAACTATTTTTATCTATTACTATAACTGCTCTTGAATAATTTATTACTTCTTATCTGAAGTTATCAGGATTTTTATTCAATAGTGTACAGGGTGCTCGGAAAAAGTTGTGTCAATAGATTTTATCTATGAAGTTGCAATTATTATGTTGATTATTTGGTTCGATTAATAGTTTTAAAACTAGATCATTCTAACTATACTAATTTTTGACCTCCTATCTTTAATATGTATGTATGTCTCTTGTGGCAGGAGGTGTCTCTTCCGATTTCTTATTAATTTCCACTAGCATATTCCTTCATTCATTCACTTCATTAAGTTCCTGTTTGAATAAAACATTTTTACTTCCGAAAATGTACTATTTCGTACCTATAACATTGTCAAGAAATTAACATATTTGTTCACGCACGTTGTGCTTATCAATTTCCCCCACAAACGTCACGTTTTGTCCAAATCACGAAGGCATCATTAAGAATATTGATAATATGGAAGATCGTCATCATAAGGTCGTCAGTGCTGAGACTGATTGGACACGCACCTCCACTCTTTCCTATCCTCAGCTAATATTCGCATTTCCCCAAAACCAGAACAGCCCACATCCTTAACTATTAGCGAACAGTAATCTAATCTAGGTCTATCTCTACTCCGCCTAACTCCTGTGTCTGCCTCTAATATTTCTCTGACTAGACCTTCATGCCTGAGAAGGTGTCCTATCAACCTATCTCGCCTATTTCTTATTGGCTTCCTTGAGTCCTCTATTCTCCTATTCTTTCTAACACCTCTTCTTTTCTAATCTTCTCTATCCACAGAATCCTCATCATTCTCCTGCAACACCACATTTCGAACGCTTCTAACCTCTTCTTTTCCGCCGCGTTCACTGTCCATGTTTCGCACCTGTACAGCGCCGCGCTCCAAACATACACCTTTAACAACCTATATGGAAGATATCGAAACAAAAAACATAACGGAAACGTAAAAAATATACCTGTAGATTAACCATCAAATGGAATATTATGGTATGGAATATAATATTCATTCCAATTTTATTGCATAATTATGTAGTTCCTACTATGTGCTTATGAAATAAACAAAATAAGCAAAAACTGCCTACTATGCTTTTATCGTTATGGTAAGTAAGTATATTGACCTACATCTCACCCACACCTTTACGTAAGACTTCGTTGGGGGTCATTGGTTACATTAATTTAATGCACTTTCAAGGTATCATATCGCCCAGCTGGTAATTTAACTAAAGGCTTAAAAGGATTTATGTAGATTTTGTTAATTATGATATTGAGACTTATTTTGTAGTGGCATTATTTAATGTTAAACCTAAGTACCTTTAAGTGTTGGAAAGATTTTTAAACGCTCATCTGTTTAATTGCCTCAGTTTTCCAATAAATTAAGAAAGAAGTCATAAGGAACTTTCTACAACTAAAAATATTGCCAAAGGTAATAGCTACAATTGTGATATTATTGATAATTAGTCAATAAGATAAAATAAGAATCTCATTTCAAAATCTTTAACTTTTTAAAAAGAAACCACCAGAACTAAGTTTATTACTATGCCATACGAGTGAAGGTTTACTCGAAGACTCTAGGGAATTATTCGTAGACTTGATGGCCACAGTTGTAATATTATTGATAAAATAGTCAATACGATAAAATTTAGGACTCTCATTTCAAAATCTTTATCTTTTCAAAAAGGAATTACCAAAACCAAGTTTATTACCATGCAATAAAAGCCTTAATTTACTTGAGGGTACTATTCATAAACTTGGTTTTCGAATTTGATACAGTTCAAACTTGAACTCTCTTCAAACTCTTCTTAGTAATACTACTCATAAAATTCCTATTCTGGATAAGTCGGGGATTTATGAATATGTTCAACTTGCTTTTAGTTTTTAGAACTGAGAGGCGTGACCTAAAGGTTTAGACCATTGCTTAAGAACTCAGGAGGGCATCGGTTCGATTCCTAGTGCATCTTCCGTGATCCAAGATTTTCTATGGTTTCCTGGTCAAACGCTTGGGCAGCCATGTTCCACAGGGAATCATTTCACTCTCTTCTGTCTTCAATTAGTTCATCTCATCCTTCTCACCCAGCACCCTCCACATATTCCAATGATTCTTAAAAGTAGGCTGAAGATGGCCTTCTGACTTGAAGGTGTAGTCCAAAGGAACTGTCCGCCCACCAACATTAGTAGCTGGTGGGAATAAAACATCCAAATGTTTTTTAGTTTATAGTCTCTTTATTGATTGAAGTTGGTAACCTCGTTACCAAAAAGTACTTCGGATGTTTAGCGGCCTGTTTCAGCGTTAGGATTTGAGCGATTTAAAGTGTTCTACAACATCGTCAAGGTTTTACAGTCTTCTAGATTCCTTTAAGATCTTTCAAATAATGATGAGCAAATTTGGTCTTCATCTTAGTCTTACATTGTTACCAAAAATTGTTACTTCTGGTACATGTATTCTTGTCGTCCAATTCTTAAAAAAGTAAAAGGTATTCGGTTTTTATTATACAAGAGTTCATATAAACGTATCTTGTAAAAGACAAACTTCATCTAGGAAATCAGATAAAATATCGAAATGTACAAAAACAGTCGTAAGGCCTATACATGTTGGTTCTTAAAAATATTTATTTTTTCGAACATTACTCTATCATGTACCTAGCATTGGTACGGAAACAGTTTGGTTTTCATTTTCAATTATCACCAACTATTGGAGGAAACGAACTGGTCGAAGAAAAGGTCTTTACCCGACAAGTTTGTTTTGGATTCTGCACCAAACGCAGTTGTAAAGTCATAACCCTGCACACGTGTTACCTACACGTACATAAACTTCCTGTCGAATTCATTAACGGATTTTCTAGTTTGTTTTGTTATTCCTCATGTCAATTTATTCTTCTCTTACATACGACCGAACCAATGCGCCGGTTTCACCTTTGCTTTACTTTGCTTTGCTTGATCAGCTGCGACAGTACTAATTTTCTTCGGTTCAACTTGGCGGACCAAGCGGTCATTAATATTAGAATTACTATGAACTCAAAAACCTCAACAGTCAAAAGGAATTGATAGTAACTAGGGGAAACTCAAAGACCTATTATGTCTTTATTCTGAGTTATATCATTAAAATATTACATATTGATATTGGCAAAAGAAAACATTGTTTTAATAACATGCAGGAAAATGAAAACGACGAAACGGAAATGGTGGTAAATAGCGTGAATTGGATTGGCTGTAGCTCAGGTCCGGACTAGGATGTCGGTCTGTTTTTGATATTTTTCTCTCATGAACAATAACAATGACAATTTTTTGTAAATGTAAGGCATATTATACACGATTAGTTTTAAATTTTACGAACGCAATCAACAATTAAGTATATTAATTTAGTTACTTAATAGTTGTCTGCTCAGTTGACGGTAGATGTCAGTATTTTATTCTTATTTGCAGGGATACCTAAAACCTTGGAAAAACGACTCATCCTGTCCTCTTGTAGAACATTTACAAGATCTCTTTAGTAACATTGAAGAGATTTACAGGTTTAACAGGTAAGTAAATATATTATATATTTATAATATCTACTTTTGTTATAAAAAAATAATTTCTTCATTTACTTTATCAACTTTACTGCTTTAAATGACGTTCTTGTTTTCTATTTTGCAG